CTTCTTTTTTTTTTTTTTTTTTTACCATTGACTAAACCTCGTATATTGATTGATTACAATTTATTTTCGGTTCATCATTTTTACAGTACTTAAATGAATCCATGTATTTCCCTCATAGTTTAGATTTCCGTGGTCGCGCATATCCAATACCAGCACATCTGAATCATTTAGGGGATGATTTGTGTCGCGGTTTACTGATGTTCAAGGATGCCAAACCTCTGGGAAAAGTTGGTTTAAAATGGCTCAAAATTCACTTGGCCAATCTTGCTGGGCTTGACAAAGCTTCGTTCGAGGAAAGGATAAATTATACGAATGAACATATTGAGGATATCATGGATTCAGCGGATAGACCATTGACCGGAAAACTGTGGTGGCAACTAGCCGAGGACCCGTGGCAATGCTTATCCGCTTGCTTCGAGATCACCGAAGCCATCCGCTCCAAAAATCCGGAGAATTATGAATCGCGGATTCCTGTGCACCAAGATGGCACTTGTAACGGATTGCAGCATTATGCAGCTCTCGGGGGTGACTTGATAGGGGCAACGCAGGTTAACCTGGCTCCCTCCGAATCTCCATCAGACATATATTCTGGTGTCGCGGAGCGGGTACAACAAGAGGTCGACAAGGATGCCGAAAAGGGAAACGAAAATGCTATCCTTTTGAAAGGAAAGATAAATCGCAAAGTTGTGAAACAGACTGTGATGACTAATGTTTATGGCGTAACTTTTATTGGAGCCAGATTACAAATCGAGGCACGACTCAAAGAGATCGAGGAAATACCGGAAGATAAAATTCGTGAATTATCGGTGTACCTTACCACTCTTGTATTTAGTTGCCTTGGGGAAATGTTCAATGGCGCACGAGCGATACAAAACTGGTTGAACGACAGTGCCAAATGGATCTCAAGGAGTGTACCGCCGGAACTCGTGCTAAAGTCACCGGAAGAGATTGAAGAAGACAATAAAAATGAAGGGATACCAAAAAATTTTAAAAAATCAATCGTCAAGATTCCACCAAGCCAACCAGAACATAATCAGATGACAGCAGTAGTTTGGACGACTCCACTGGATTTACCCATCGTTCAACCATATCGCAAAGTGCCCAGGAAGTCGATAAAAACCGGACTTCAGATTATAAGCCTTACCGATTCAGGAGTCCCTAGTCCGGTCAATAGGGTTAAACAGCGAGCGGCGTTTCCTCCAAACTTTATTCATTCACTTGATGCAACACATATGCTAATGACTGCTCTTATGTGCAAGGAAAAGGGATTGACATTTGCATCAGTGCACGACAGCTATTGGACTCATGCGTGCGATGTTGAAGTGATGAACGAAGTGATACGCGAACAATTCATCAAACTTCACGAGCAACCCATCATGGAAAATCTTCGAAACGAATTTCTGGAACGATACAAGGGATACAAAGTACCTGTTAAAGTTCAAAGGTCGGAATTTGAGAAACTAAAATTGAAGTCAGAAATGAAAGATAATGCTGAGGTGGAAATCGCTGATAATGGTTATGAAGACACGCTCAGTCTGAGTGAGCTGTCTAAAATAGTACCCAAGCCGCCGCCAAAGGACGACTCCTTGTATGAATTGGATGGTACGGAAACGCATTATTTGGTGGATAATTTAGACTTTGACAAAATACCCGATGAATATCTTGCAGATGAATATGAATATGAGGAAGAAAAAGGATTCAAAAAATCAAAGGCCAAACGTTCGAGATACGTTTATGTTTGGGCGGATCTAGATTTTCCAGAATTACCAAAAAGAGGAGAATTCGATGTTTCGAGAGTTAAGGAAAGCAAATACTTTTTCAACTGATAATTCCCTGGGTTGATAAAATCCAAAACCTCAATGTTGATACCTCCATCTCATGTCGAGTATAGACATACACGCGAGATGGTAACAGATGATTGGTCACAATTCATTGTGAAACTTCCTTTCGCATCATGGTATATAAAATCATTGCACTCAAAAAAAAAAAAAAAATTAAATTGTAAAACAAAAGTACTGTATATATCAATGAATTTGTTCTATAAATTTTTACATAGACCTCTGATGAATCTGCATCATAGATTCGCACGTGCCCTCTCAAAAATTGTTGGGCATTAAAATTTTTTATATTAATAAAAAAAAAAATTATTATTAAATTAAATGCAGTCATATAAAAAAATTATTTTAGAGATTATCATCAATTCAAATGGGTCACAAGATATTGGATAATACTAGATAAATATAGACCGACCTAAACTTGATAACTTTGCATCATGAAATTCGCCTTCTCATTTATTCCTGGTTAATTGTTTTCTTTGATAATTGTAGAACGAAAACGTTTCCCCCAGTCAACAATGTCCTTTCCATCACTTTATCATACCATCAAGAGTAGCCGCTTTCTTCACCGTTACCTCAAACCTATGGCCGATTTTTATGCCAACATATCGGGTTACAGGCAACTTGGTGCGTACAAATCCTAAACCTTTGTCTGAGTGCAGTGCTCTTGTTTTACGAGGAAGAAAAAAAAAAAAAAAAAATTTTTTTCTCTAATGGTTTCTTCATAAAAACAACAAAGGGCTAAGGTATGACGACATCATAATCGAAGAAAACTCCGTCGTTCAGGAAGCATTGAGGAGGTTGTCACCCAAAGAATCCGATCTCAGAAATATCCGCATTCGTAATGCTTATCAATTATCCTTGACACACAAGATCTTGCCCAAGGAAAAGTGGACAAAACCCGAGGAAGTAAGATGATATTTCTTTATTATTGTGGAGCGAGTTCTTTACTACGTGTAATTCACATCGGTCCATCATCATACAGGACATTCGATTCCTTTATCCAATTGTTGAACAAGTTGCCACCGAGAAAGCCGAACGTGAAGCTTTCGAATCGATAAAGGTTGTTCGTAAAGTTAGATAAGAAATATTTGCAATAAAATGGACAACTGTAGCAGTTTTTTTTTATGAAAACGAAACATTTATTTCTTCTAGCATACATGCTATAGTTAGCATTATCGGTTTTTCTCAATTTCGTGAGATAAGATTTTTTTTTTTTTTTTTTTGTTCGCACAGCCATAGGTCAAGCAAACTGAGTATAATTACAGTATATGCGCATACACTGTGTACTTCAGGAGTTATAAAAAAATCTATATATAAACTATTATCAATTTGATTACGTTAGTAAATAACGCGTCTACACCGAAAATTTGACCGCGACTTGTTTACACTATATGACCAATAAAATCCAACTTTTCTCGTGGAATCTCTTGCTTTTGTAGAGTTCAAGATGACGGACAATTATGCTAAACTCGAAAAACTCGGCGAAGGTTACGTTTCACGAAGTGAAATAACGATATCCGATATTTAACCTAATACATGTACACTATTGTTATATTCGCCTGTACCAGGAACATACGGTGTTGTTTACAAGGCAAAGGACAAGACAACAGGGAGAATTGTGGCGCTCAAGAAGATCCGTTTAGAAGAAGGAGAAGAAGGAATCCCACCTACTTCAATTCGCGAAATATCTTTACTCAAAGAAGCCACTAAGAATGAGAACATTGTAAAGTAGGTCGTTCTCTTACTGCCTGGTTAATAATAATCGTAGACAAGGAAGAAGAAGAAAAAAAAAAACAGAAATAAGGAACTCGACATTTTATATATAAACAGACTTTTGGATATTGTCAGTCAAGAGAGAAAGCTATACCTCGTGTTTGAATTTTTAACGATGGACCTGAGAAAGTTTATAAAAGAGATTCCTAAAGAAAACGGAATGGAACCTTTAACTATGCAGGTAGCTTCACGAGCACTCTTTCATCCACATTCGAAAAGGATGATACGCGATCTAATGTGACTTGTGAATTTTAGAAATTCATGTATCAACTTATTGATGGGACCATGTTCTTGCATGCGCGTCGTATCTTTCACCGTGATTTGAAACCTCAGAACCTGCTAATCGACTCACAGGGCGATCTTAAGGTGGCAGATTTTGGCTTGTCCAGAGCAGCGGGTGTTCCATTGAAGCCCTACACGCACGAGGTGATCTATATCACGTGAAATGGTAAACCAGGAAGGCGTTATTGAGGCTCATAACCTTTCGTTTTTAGGTGGTCACCTTGTGGTATAGAGCACCGGAAATTCTTCTCGGATCGCTTCATTATGCCTTCGCTATAGACATGTGGAGTATTGGATGTATCTTTGCGGAAATGGCCAATCGGACGCCATTTTTTGCAGGCAAAACAAATTTCTAGGTTAAGTGACGCGAATTGAGCAGATAATATTGACATTTTAAGTTGACCTCTATTTTATGAATGTAATATTAGGGGATTCTGAAATTGAACAACTCTTCATGGTATTCGAGTATGTTTGGCGTTTCCAACTTTTGCGATATCTTCGTTAAATTTTAACGAAATATTATGTACAACTCAGGGTTCTAGGAACGCCAAACGAAAAAATATGGCCAGGAGTTAGTAGATACCCGGATTACAAGCGTAATTTTCCACAATGGCCGCCACAGAATCTTGCTGATTTCGTTCCATCATTGGAACCACTCGGTGTCGACTTACTTCAGGTACATATAGAAAATCGACTTGGTTTCGACCGTTCAAAATGTTGACTTTTTTCTTCAATTTTTCAGAAACTTCTTACTTATGATACTATTCGTCGGATTTCTGCAAAACGTGCTATCTCTCATCCCTACTTCAATAGATGGAAATCAATAAAATGTTGCAAACAATAGGCCTTTAAAAAATCTGCACGAACTTTGAAATCGATGATAGTAAAATAAAACTAAAATTTGAATTTGTTAAAGTATTTTTTATTACTATATATTAAAATTAATTTTATAATCAATTTAACCCGCAATTATGCCATTATGGCATGTCTTTATAAATACCTAATATGTTAGACTTTCACATGATAACTAATGTGTATATTATTAGTTAAAGAATTATGCTACTTAAAAAATAA